AAGGGTCCCCTCACATGGCGGCCGTAGAGAAGCTCGAAGGGTGAAAACCCCATACTGGCCTGCGGAACCTCCCTATAGGCAAAGAGGAGAGGTGCCAGGTAGCGGTCCCAATCTCTCGGTTTTTCGGCGCACATGCGCTTCAACATTAATTTTAAGGTGCCATTGAATTTTTCCACCAAGCCATTCGCCATGGGGTGATATGGGGTGGTGTGGAGCTGGCGCACGGAAAGGAGCCGCGCTACTTCTTTCATCAGGTCCGATGTGAAGTTCGTGCCACGGTCGCTCAGTACCTCGCGGGGGACGCCAAATCGGGAGAACATCTCGACCAGGGCTTCGGCCACTCGCTCAGTTTCGATACTCGGGAGCGCCACTGCGTCTGGATACCGGGTGGCATAATCCATTAAAGTCAAAATGTATCGGTTCCCATGCTTTGAGGGCGGGTGAATCGGTCCCACTATATCGATGGCCACTCGCTTGAACGGGGTGTCGATTATGGGTGCCCTCCCCAGTGGAACATGTGGTACACGGCCCTTTGGTACGGTGCGCTGACAAATGTCACATGAGGCGACGAACCTTTTTACGTCAGCTGTGATGCCTGGCCAAAAGAACTCCTCCGAGATCCGGTCCTTGGTTTTCTGCGTGCCCAAGTGTCCTGCCATTATACCATCGTGTGCCGTTTTAAGCACAGCCTCTCGGTGGCAGCGCGGAACGACTAATTGGCGTACAAGCCGTCCGTTGGCCTCTGTGTACTGTCGGTACAGCAGTCCCTGTTCTTGTTTGTACTCGATGATTCCCTTTTCATTTCGGCATGTTTGCTTCCTGCCGATCTTCTCAAAACACTGTTTGAGTGTCGCATCTCCCCTCTGCTCGCAGCCATAGTTATCTTCCGGCGATCCCTCCGTGGTCCCAGGCGTACGAAGCTTGGCAAATTTTCCCGGCTGTGCATGCGCTTGGGAACGGGTTATAGCTGCTGCCACAGGCTCTTCCCTTAGCTCCTTTGTCGCGACTGGTTTTTCAGTCTGCTTTCTGGGATTATTAGGAGGTCTTACGCCCTCGATATTGCCCAGAATGAGGTCATACAGTGGATCTTGCAGACATAGTGCTGTCAGATGGCCAGTAAAGTAGGGGGTATCAACCTCAATCCGTGCTTCGGGCAGCATCCTCGCTGTTCCGTCAACCAAGTAGACGAGTCTGCTTGTACCTGTCAGCTCGTCTTCTTTCACCAACTTCCTCCGCACGATTACTGTGTTGCACCCCGTATCCCGCAACACTGATATGTCTGTGCCTCGGAGGGTCCCTGTGGCCACTGGTAGGTTCTCGGCCAGATTTTTCGGCGGTGTCGCCCTTATGGCGTTGACGACGGGGACTTTTTCGCCATTCCTAAGTTCGACATACCCGTCGCATATGGGATCCTCACGCGTTTGCCTTGGTGCGTAGAGGCAGGATGCCTGGAGGGAGTTATTTGCCCCTGACCGGCAGTCGTTTGCCCTATGTCCTTTTTTCCCACACTTGAAGCAGACGATGGCTACATTAGCGGCAGGTCTGTTGCGACACAAGTGCGGTGGGTGATTCCCACGATTGCAAATATAGCACCGTGGTAGTGGTGAGTGGCTGTTGCCTCCTTTTTCGTATTTCCCCTTTTCGTCCGTTATGGGACCATCTTTCTTTGTTTTCGCTAGGCTTGCTCCACCCTGAGCTTCCAAAAACTGATCTGCCAGCTCAAGCATGTCTTCCAGGGAATCCGCCCTCCTTTCTTTCAAATATAATGCCAGGTTCGAACCACATCCATGCAAAAACCTCTCTCTAATCAACAATGCTCGGAGGGACTCGAATATTTTCTCAGTTTTGGACAGCTCAACCCATCTATCGAAATAGTGTCTTAAGCGAGCCGCGTACTGTGTTGCTGTTTCACCCCCTACTGGCCTCTCCTTATTAAACTTGTCTCGGAACCCATCCGCCGTGAATCGAAAGCGCTTCAGGAGGGCGGTTTTAACCTTGGTGTAGTCCGCTGCATCTGCAGGCGGTAGCCTGCCATAAACACTTAGCGCCTCTCCTGTAAGACATGTCGAAAGCGCCGTCACCCATTGGCTTTCAGGCCATTTTTGCCCTCTGGCGATGCTCTCAAACCGGCGTATAAACGCATCTAAGTCGTCCCTTCCTTCGTCAAAGGTGACGAGCAGTCTACCTGCGTGTATTCTCAAACTCGGCTCCTCCCCGGCATCGCCGTGCTCACTGCTGGATCCGCTCACCCTGCTACTCTCATTGAGGCGAATCTTTAATTGCAGTAACTGCACTTCCCGTTCTCCGGCTTCCCTAGCCGCTACCCTTGCCGCTTCTCGTTCTTTCTCCCTTTCAACGCGCTCTCTCTCCTTTTCTTCGCGTTCTCTCTCCTTTTCTTCGCGTTCTCTCTCCCTTTCTTTTTCCTTTTCCTCCCGTTCTCTCTCCCTTTCTTTTTCCTCCCGGGCCAGTGCCCGCTCTTCTCTGGCTAACGCCTGCGCCTGTTCCTGCTGCTCCTTAACCCATTGTCTCAGTTCGGCGCCCTCGAGGCCTAACTGTTTACCGTGCGCGATCCACTTATCCAAATTCATACACTCCATACTGCAAACTGTCACTATAATGCCACTATAAAACCAGCGCAATCTTATGCAGGCTGCAACCGCTTCAACTGTGCGGCTCTATCACCACGCTGTCCGCACGGTTCTCGTTCACCCCTCACTGTCTTACTCTTTGTACGGAACGTCCTGTCTCGCGGACGCCAGTTTTGTTACAAGCTGCCACTCAAGCGTCGCCAGCGCGAAGTCGGCGACGGGAATGACAGCAGGTTGGTTCGTTCCGTACGCAAGCAGAGACAGTGAAGAGATCAGAGACGTGAGAAAACAAAACAAACTTTACTGTAGTGATATGGCAGCACACGGGATCTAATACAACAATTCTATACAACTAACAAAATACATCAACACTTGATACAACTAAAGAAATATATAACAGAAACAATAAATCAGCTTACGCGAGAGAACTATCACAAACTACACAAACTAACAACAATGGAACTACGGAGTAGAAAGTTCGAAGATATAACAGACGAAGGCATACGTGTGATGACCGGCAGCGTTGTGTCCCCGACGATCGGATGCGAGAAGTCGAAGAGAGTTCTGGCACGACTGCGATGTCGGCGGTGTTGCAACGCTGGTGGCTCCGGGAGGCTAGTGCTGCAGGTGACTTCGAGCAGGTTGAGCTAACTCGAGGCGAAGTCCCGATGTCTACGTTGCAGACGTTAATCTCGCGTCACAACTAGACGAACGGCTAAGTTTAGGTGGCCAGCCGATACAGAGCCACACTAAAAACTTCTAGAAAAGATGCTTGTTGATCTGTTTCTACACCATCTTGGTCAGCGACTAGTCTGCCTAGCAGGGCAAAATCCTGCGCTTAAATCCCCCTCGTGTCTCCTCGCTCTTTTCCTTGGGGACAAGAGACCTCTACCTGGGTCCAATCATGCGCGTTTAATTGAGGGGAAACTCCGCCCCAAAAATATTTTGACCCCACCCCTTTTTAATAGGGAGAGGGCCCGCAACTAGCGAGAGTGACAACCTGTCGGGTTGTTGTCATACGGCTTGGCCACCAGAGCGTTTCCCACGCTTTTCTCCGTGGGAACGGTCAACCACTTAGCTCTCAGCCGGGCGTCTTGTAGTCTAATCCTTGTGCGGGGTATACCGCGGCCTTCTACGACCTTGCAGACGTCGCCACGGTTACAAAAGGATTAACTGTCGGCGGCGACGTTCTAAGGAGAGCACCCCAATTTTGCACTTATCGGTTCCCTTTCATGTGCCGCCGTTTCTCACGGTCAGTCGGGGAGTACGGCGCCCGTTAATTGCCGTGACGCGGTGTCGCCGAAAATAGCCATCCGTGACATATATATATATATATATATATATATATATATATATATATATATATATATATATATATATATATATAGCTGCATATTACTCCAAGTATATATATATATATATACTTAGAGTAATATTTCAATAGGCCTGTTTGTCTTTTTGAAAATATGGGTTATACCACAACGGAAGCATTGTCAGTGATGATGCATATATTTATTATATGTATATATGGGTGATAATGTATGTATTATTTTTTACAATGCTTTTTTGTGTTGTATATATATATATATATATATATATATATATATATATATATATATATATATATATATGTCATTATTTTGTATGTGAGATATTAAAATTACTGCCTTTATTTTTTGGTGTCGCCTTTGGCTCAAGGTTCACACCACTAAGTTATTTGTATTTGCTTTATTTATTCTTTGTCACATCGCATTTCTGTACACATGATAAAGTCGCGCCTTTTACGTGTCCCTCGATAGCCAAGCAGCATCTGCGTCGGTATGAAATGCTGGTCTCGCACAGCCACCACTTTTCACAGCGGTAAGGACATAAAACTAGTTCGGGGAGTAGTACATGTGGAGACGCTCACCCCTGTAACAGGCGCGTAGCCAGACATTTTTTTTTTTCAGGAAGGGAGGGGGGGCACCAGTTTAGTTTTGGGAGGGTCACCCCGTAAAAGGGCCAATTTTTCATCTTAATGCCTTGGCGAAAAAATTTCAGGGAGGAGGGGGGGGGGGGACAAGCCCGTTAGGCCACTTCCTGGCTACGCCCCTAGCATTCCCTTCATTGCCAAGAAACGAGCGCCGCGAACTGTAGCGAGAAACAGCACAAAAAGACAAGGGCGGAAGAGGTGCACGAGCGAGTTCACAACTGTGATTGAGCGTTTCGTCTCCTGTCTTTTTGCATATAGCAAGCCCAAGACGCCCAAAACATCGCGTTACCAACTTTTGTGGTGTCGTTGCGTTGTTACCTACTTCTTCAATTGAGCACCATGGTTATGGGGCCTGACGAAGATATTACCGAAGCGTTGGTAGCATGCTGATAACAACAAGTTGTAAACCTGCTAAAACAAAAGAGAAAAAATGAATGCAGGGCTCCGTGTCATCAAGGAGCTGGCGTCGCAGATCAAGTCCGAGGATTCAAGTGCCACGGACCTGTCTTCGCCACCGCCACGGCCGCGCGGAAGACCTCCCAGGCTGGACCGGGGCGACTACGTGGGAACGTCCCGGGTGGTCCGGGGGGCTCCTCCACCCCACCCGTCCATGCAGAATGGCCACGAGCGACCGGGAAGCAACGGAGGCCTTGAGCTGCACCACCACAACGGCACCGTGGACGAGGCCGCCGATGCGGAGAACAGCCTGAACGCGCTGCTCGCTCTCTCCCAGAAGAGCTTGATGAAACAAGAGCCAGCGTCGCCGGCTACCATCAAGATGGACTAAACTGATGGAAGGCCACCACCGTGGTGTTTTGCAGCAGTGTGCCGGCACTCTGACGGCGTGGACGCCCGCTTGCACCTTTCTGGATTGGTCGAGCTGGCTGTGCATGTCCTCCGTCCTTATTCGGTCTCGGAAGTGGTCTGTCATTCCAGAAAATTCACACTGTGCGACTGTTTGCTATTGACTACCACAGTCGATAGTCTATACCGGTGAAGCGTGCTGCCGTGCACACGAAAGTCATCACTTGTAGATATGCAACGAGAGTCTGTAGGGTGGGAAAGGGGGGTATTCTTGCTAGTTAGTGTCCTCAAATCTGACCTTCTGCTACATACTGCAAAGTTTCGTTTTCGGTAGAGAGTCGTAACATTTTACTACTTAGGCATCGAAGCGATAAATTGCCCGCAATTTTCTCTCATTAAAATTGTACCGTTTTTTAAATTGGACAATAGTGGAGAATTTTAAATCGTTGTTTCGACACGCTCGCATCATTGTTCCATTATCGGCACAGGGCAACCTACACCTTGAGGACAGCATCGAATGCCCACTTGTGTATGTCCATCGTGTCACATATGGTTTACTACAAGTAGACGCATTCGACAGCCAGAGCGTCTCACCAGTACTGGTCCCACGCACACTTGTCATGTTCTACCAATGTCGTCCTGGGGAGCGCACTTGCAGAGGCACCATTCTGGTAGCTGTGTCGTTTTTATCCTCAATGAAAACTACAACTCTCCGCTGTGACTGCATTTTTCTGTACACACAATTGCACTTCGAATGGCGACATTCTCTGCCGAAGAACGATTTCCGCAGTTCAGGTGGCTGGCTTACTCTAACTGAATGCTTACTATTATTTAGTGCATTCTCGCTCTTGAGAAGCAACCCGGGGTTAAGTGAAAATATTTAAAAATATCACAGCTAGATTCACGCAGAGATTGGTGTGCAAGCACCACGTTCCACAAAACATGTTTATCATGGAATATTTATTGCAGTGACAACTGCAGCAGTATTTCTGACTTAGCAGGCGCTGCAATCAGTCTTATTGGTGCCTGCATTTCACCAGTGAAATCACTGCAGAGAAAAAAGAGAACAACTGCATAGGAACATATTTATGCATTTTCATTCATCAGCAAGTTACATCGCAGCGCCTTCCGAGCTATTGAACATTGCTGAAACACGTTGGTTGTCAAGTTGGCTTGCATCCATGAAGAGTGAGTAAGCGCGACAGAGAAAGACGTAGAAGAGAACCGTAGAAGACAGAGGGCTGCTTTCAACTGATACTTAATTTTCGCACCAAAATTACGTAGTTATCGCTATCTCGTGATACTGGCTTGTACATGTACTCGGTTCAACAATGAGACCAAATGAATGATCTTTTCTTGCTCACATTTCCACTCGCTCAGTCTGCGCTTATGCTTAAAAATTTGGGCGAAAATAAAGTGTGAGTTACAAGTAGTGCTGTGTCCTTGTGGGTTTTTACCTACGTCCTTGTCTGTCTCGCTTACTCACTAGTGACTTCACTGAGCAGGTAGTAGCGGTAAGGCATGAAATAACGAATTGCTTGATTTTGCACTCCGCTGATGTAAGATAGTTACCGTTTATAGATCTTGTGATTTACTTGGTTCATCATGGTGAATGTGTCGTAAATAGTCGAGCCTTTCAGTGAACACTTTTGCTTACGTGTAATCATGTGTACTCTCGTAGAAAACGTGGTAATTAATCGATTGCTGCTGCGTGTGGTGGAATCATCTGGCGTTTCCATGATCACTAGTGTCCTTGCCTGGACGTTTGTCACTGACAGACAGTCACTGTGCTTGGACGGAGGGTTTTCTGTCACCGTTTGTCATTATTTGTTCTTTTTTGTAGGACCGAGCAATCTTTGGCACGCATTCTGCCTTCGCAGTCGTAACTTCTAGCGCCGGGTGAGCGCGCCAAGCAAAACAGGTGCACTGCGGCGCAGCGAGAGCGAAGGAGTGGTGCTATATAGCTCGCTCTGCACTGCACACGCCACTCCCTCACTCGCTATGTCGTTCCCGTCACCGAGTGTAGAATACGCTCTCTACACCCGCTCTCTACCCTACCACCTTCATGAAATCCAGCAGCAAAATCAGGTGCATAGTCGATTGCTTCCCATTCCCGAGGAGCTCTGCTCAACAGTCGTATTTGTACACAAAACAACTGCTAGTTTGGTGTGTTTTTTTAACTTACAATTAACAGGTACAAACACTGCGGCTAAATCATTTGGTTCAATCTTCATGCGAATTTTTTTTGTTGGCGTCACCTTTACTTGGTGTCTTTTTTTCATAAAACAGGGCTAGTGATTGATTCCCATATTTTAGCACTTATCTCTCGCACAATATTGCTAGAATTTAAGCACGAAGGGCGACGGATAAGTATTTGCCGCGTAGGCAATTAGAAAGGAGCACTTCTTGAAAAGACATGAAGTGCATGACTAAAAATCCTAGCCGCGTTTAGCGCTTGCTTTGCAGGAGGATAGGCTTTCACAGTTTTTTCACGCAGTGACGACGGATAAATAATAGGCCACTGGATTCGGGGACCTAACGTCTCGAAATTCCAGGTATTGTGGGCCAATGTTTCACATATAATAGGGGTAGCATGATCCTGCCGCAATTAGCTGTAGATTGTTAAGATATGGAATATTAGGGTAATGAAATTTCAAAGTATTTAAATGCAGCTCAGTGAGTTGCACTTGTTTATAGTGGTGAAGTTTGACAGATAAGCGTAGTAGCCTGCAGTTTCCCCTTGAAATTTTGAAGTCGAAGCAGGACACTATAAAAATTGAAGAAGTAAAACACCCTGTCTTGATAGTATGTTTCTCATATAAGCATGCCCCTTCATACATAAGCAAGCTTAAAATAGGTGCAATAGGCACATAACACACACCGAGCTATATGATTTGTCAGCATCAACTCAGAACCTTTATTTTGCAGAAAAAGTTTCATAACAGAGAAACGCTAGCACACATTTGATCACTGGTTATCGATTTTCTGTCTGGCAATCAGTAAGAGAATTCATGATTGCTTTGATACGCAAGTTTTATTACATTTTAGTTTGACGCTCTTCGGCAATTATTATTGTTCTTATCAGCAGAGGTCTCTATTCTTCCCAGCTCGAAAAATGCTATGAACCGTTTTGAACATCTGCAGCGCATTTGTTGTGCGTCACATCGCATTAAAATCAATCAATGGCTGAGCGTTGCTCGCTTTAAAAATGTATTAGTGCTGATTTTTTAGGTATGAATGGTTTACTGTGACGCAATCTTATAATGAACTGATGACCAACCACTGGAATTGCTGACATTATTCCTTAGGAAGGTAAGGGGTTAAGAGAGTTAGGTTGAGTCGTTGCTTCTTTCTTTGAACACTTATACCCTAAATTCAATTTTATGATCTTATTATTTGTTAATAAGATCATAAATCGCTCTTATGTATTAGCTCTAATTTCTAACAATACTTACGTGCTAATGTACTTACAGGTAAACCAGTGCGTTTAAATTCACTTTCTCTTTGTTTTCAATTATCTGTTCTTGGATCGCGAGCAACGAAAAGGACACATGGCAGAGACGCGGAAACTAACACTTGCGACTTATCTTCGTTGAAGATGTTTTCTTCGAGTAGCTTCAGCCCGTTTTGCTGCTGGGATATTGAATAGCGTGCGGAGAATAGGTGATTTAGAAGCTGCGCGTACGAAAACATAAGTATAAAAACTACTTTTTTTGTATATGTAGTGCAGCTGCAAGGACAGTGCACTTATCCTTAATGAAAGCTAATTTTCATCTCTGCTTACACAATATTCTACGTTTCATGAACTGTCTGCAATTTTCGTTTGTGTTGATAAGCGGTATACTTGCGTCATGACAGCTCTTTGAAAGCGGCTAAGCAAATATTTATTTTTATATTTATTTTAACACACTGCAGCCTTAATGGGCTATTGCAGGAGTGGGTACAAAATACAAAAAATTGCTATTCAACACAAGAGCTACAGAGCATGCAGAACAGTGGTTTTTGATCTACAAAAAAATTCATCACGTGATAAGGATTTAAGATGGCCGGAAAACGTATTTCATAACTCAATGATTCGAACAAAAAACTGTATTTATGCGGATTTGTTCCGAGAAAAAGGAGACATATTCTTTCCTGATGATGTCTGGTGAAAGTTGGTTTGGCAGGTGTGAGTGAAGGAAGTCTTGGATGACATTGTAAAAGAACTTTGATCTGACGTGATGACGAAAAGAGAGAGTAGTAAAGTGAATGCTATGAAGATGAGAACCATGTCAAATCGATAATATATGCTTTCTTTTAGTTAGATTAATTTTTTTACGTCAGATATTTTGTGAGGCTTCTATATGACGGAGCCCTAATTTAGTATTGGGTGAACTATGGTTTGACAAGCCAGAAGCCTTGCGTTTGCTGGGGCCAAACGTAGAGTACGTTGTAGGTGCCCCAGTCTTATAAGGACAAGGTTACACATTACTTCAATGTGTTGCGATGAAGACGGATTCTTAGTGAATGAAAGAAATAAATGTTTGGATTCAGACACATTTTTCACGGTTGAACCAGGAAACGAATAAGCAAAAGATGTCCGAAAAGAGCGTTTAGTAGACGACATGAAGACAGTTTTACGGGAGTAATTTGCATGGTTCAAGTTTCACACCATGATTATATAGACGGGAATGAATCATTAAGAATGATGTGATCATTGGAAGTTTCAATCTTCTGGTGCAAGACACAGTCGTCAGTGTACATGCAAATTTTAATAGGAATGTTATGTGGTAGATAATTTTTGCAAATTAGGAAAAATAGAGGACATAGTTTGGAGGCTTGAGGCACGCCAGACGTTACACTGGTAACAGATGATTGAAAAGACTTAACTTGTACCTACAGGTCACGGGATCAAATCCCGGCCGCGGTGGCTGCATTTTCAATGGAGGCAAAAATGATGAAGAACCCGTGTGCTCAGATTTGGGTGCATGTTAAGGAAACCCAGGTGGTCGAAATTTCCGGAGCCCTCCACTACGGCGTTTGTCATAATCATATGGAGGTTTTGGGACCTTAACTCCCATATATCGATCAATTGAATTGTATTTACTGAAACCGATGGGAAAGAAAAGAAGAAATCATATTACCTGATGTTTCATTGTTAAGGGTGATAGAGAGCTTTTTGAATAGTTTACAGTGCGATACAGTGGCGACTGCTTTTGAAAAATTGATGAAGATCGCGTCGATATGGTCGCCTACATCGAGAGCTGCGATGATATGAATAAAAACAGTAAGTAGGGTTAGGATCCGGGACCACGTTGAAAATCATGCTGAGCATCGCATGTCATTTGACTCTAGAAATTCAGTTATAAGTTTGTATAATATGTGTCAGAGTTTTTCATAAATGAGATGTAAGAAAATTGGTCTATAATTCTGTAAAGACTTTGTTTCCAGATTGAAATAGAGGAACAACTTTAGCGGACATCCATGTTTAAGAGACGTCCGAGGTTGAAATGGATTTTCGAAAATTTCTATTGAAATAACGACTAGTTCATAGTGAATATCTAGTGAGTAATACCTTGTCTAAATTGCCTGGACTACCTTTTTTGTAGAATTTAATTGTAAAATTGTGTTCATTACTCCCTGATTTCAAACAGAAATATTACTACTTGAGCATTGAGACTGTTGTGAATAAGGAGGAATGACGAGGTTGTCTTGGGTGAAAACAGATGTGAAATAA